AAAAAAAAAAAAATTAATAGTAGTGATATGACGTGTGAAAGAATATTTATTTAACATAATTATTTTTTTAATGCTAGTGGGATGATGTGTGGAAGAACATTTGTTTGACATAAACAAAATAGAAAATAAAAAATGACATCATGCCTAATAAGATTGGATTCATTTACTATTGCATGAATAGTAAATTCTCATTCCCTTTTTATTAGAAGTTAGAAATACTAGGTGCAGGCTTATTTACTGAAAGGGAAGAGGTGAAGTCCATTAGATAAATGACATGTGACTCGTCCTAACAGCCCACATATTAGACCTTATTGTTATCAATCTCAATTATCTTGGGATGAAGTGAATAGTTGCCTCACTGATGAGGCATAATAAATTAGTCCCCCAATTTCAAGCATTGATATTTATACAAGGCAAGAACTTTGATTGCGGGCAAGCCATATGTCTCTGGACAATAAGTACTGTAGTATAGTTCCATTTTGCTGGAGCGAAATTACTTTACGTAAGCATCGTGTAGATGTAGAGGCAAAATCCCAGTAGGGATGAGGCTTCTTCATTGAATAAAGGTTGTACAACTAGTTTGATAACCCATGAGTTGTCAAGATCTCGGCATCAATTTTAAAAGATGTTTTTTAAATGAATGGATATGAAGTTTGACAAGTTTTAAGTTGTAAACATGATTATACAAGTAGCATGAATCTTCATCATTTGGGAGCAGAGGCCAAGTCCCATTTCTGTAGGGATGAGACCTCTTCGATTGGGGTGACCAAAATTATAGAGGCGAAAACCCATTTTTCAGGGATGATGCCTCTCCACTAAGGAGAAGCACAGATGCAGAGAAACTCCACAATAACACAACAACTTATTTATCAAGCATAATAAGTCATATCTAATTTAGCTAAAAGGTTGATAAAAATCTAGGTCAATGTTAATAATTAAATTTATTCACACAATTCGTCGAATTCACAACTTTTTAACCTCACATTTTGTCCAACTCAACTTTTTCAACCTGCAATGAATCTTCAATAATTCCAATATGCATCAGATAGTCTATGGCCCTTGATGGTTCTACTTCTAATATGTGACTTAATGATAATATATAGCATGGGCAAGCCAAATTTTAGATTTTATGAATTTCTTGCAAGTGTTATATCGTAAGTCCAATTAAATTTGGACATAAACATTTTAAATATAAAATTGATACAATTTTATATTAGATCTATTATTTAATTAATACTCAATTAAATTAGACAATAGAGTCCGTCGATTCAAATTTTGGTAGTTTGTTAATCACAATGAGTTGTGATTGTGATATAAAAATTGCATGTGACTAAATCTTAAATTATTCGTGATCTTAGGCTATTATAAGATACGGATATCGTTATTACAAATAAACCATCACGTGTGGCATTTCGTACTTGCAAAGTAAGTAATT